GTAGAGTCAAACTAGCGTGTTGGATATGTGGCTGTTGCACCTCGAATGTCTCTGCTTTTTGTGTGTCCCCACTACTGTACTGCTTGTGGTGTCTATGCATACTGCGGTGCATACTGCGGTGCCCCGCAGTTTGCAAATGATCGCGATAGACGCTGGTGTGGGTCCATACAACGGTTATCATGTGGCGGGGTGATAGCAGATGTCGTTTTTCGTTTTTGTTCTTCGGACCTTCGTTACCGCTTTATCTAATTTTGTTTTCAGACTTTCAAGATGAAGTTCGGAAACCGAGGGATGAACCAGCCGTGCATCGACATGAGGACGGCGAAGTGCTACATCACCCCTCAAAACCACGGGTAAAGTGGTTGTGCATTTTCGTTGATGTGCGCTGCTGTTTTTGTGTTGTTGTTGTTGTTATTGTGACAATACTCAGCACCGCTCCATCTTCAATCGCGGGGCCTGAATTCAGTTTGAAAGATACAGGGCTGACACGGATGTCGCGGAATGTCACGTAATTCTGTGAATACTAATTTAGAGATGGAAAACACTCATCAACCATTGTCATTGTCCACATTGTAGTTGCGTGGTAGGTTTGGAGCGCGTGGCCAAAATAGCCCATCCAAGCATCAGCGCGTAGCAAGAACAGTTGCTGCTGTTGCTGACGCCAGGTGTAAGGTAGACGGGGGCGTACTCTCATGTTTTGCACGCCTTAAAAAGTGGTTAGACCACGCGTCCTCGAGAGACGTGAGTCGGGGGTACCTATGTCTTTAGGCTCGCGCCGTGGCCCAAGTTTGTTTAGGATGTGTGGTGTGGTAGCACACACCAGGTGCCAATGAGAACGGAAGAAGAGACGTTCGGTAACGGGTTGTGAGAGAGAGGGGCCCGTTGTGCTTGTACGCGGGTTCCGCGTGTCTATCGGTGGCAACACCCCGAAGGTAGATCTCCGATAGGTCATGTGACGCCACAATCTACGGGACAATCTGAGGCGGCAGTCACATATAGATGTGGTGTTACCCGTCAATATTTCTTCTTCTTCTTCTGGACCTCTTGTTCTATGCATACTTTTGCGTTTGTAGCGATTTTTTGCCATTTTTTTCTCGTTTGTTCTTTTTCCAGTAGCCTTCGCAGGGTTTTTGTATTCAGGAAACATGTTGGATAAAGCATACAATCGGGGGAAGTTTGGTTAGGGTTAAGAGTTAGGGAATACGGTCTGCGTACCCCCTTCCCTGTCCTATTACCTTACAGTACTGAATTTCCCGCGAAGGCGGTCCTCTTTTTCTTCTTTTGACCGAAGTGGTTTTTCCTTCTCCAAACCACAGGTTCGCCGTTGACCCGAGCACGCTCCCCGATGGGTGGAAGACCCTGTTCAGCAACGCCAACGACAACACGAACGAGGGGGTGATCCACCAGACCGAGCCGTGGTCGTCCGTGCAGTTTCACCCCGAGGCTGCCGGCGGGCCCATGGACACCGCTTTCCTCTTCGAGGGCTTTATCAACGTGAGTCAGTCAGGCCTGCGTACCGTAAGAGGCGGAGAGATGGCACCAACAGCCCCCGGTAGAGACCGATTTTCGAAGCTCGATCGAACCACAACCAAGCTTGTGTGCCAACACAAAATATATTGTGGTTTTGGAAGCATCCCGTTGAGGTCTTTCTGTAGGGCGTATGGGGCTCTTTGCTAACCCACTTGGTTGTGGAGCAGTCGATATTGGACAATCGGTCTAGGGGGGGGGGGTGCCATCTCTCCGCCTCTTGCGGGATACCACGGTACGGTATACGGTACGGTACAGAAAATCTTGGTTGTGGAGCAATCGAGCTTTGAAGATCGGTCTAGGGGGCGTGCTCTTATGTTTTGCATGCCATAGCGGTTCACGCGTCCTCAAGAGGACGGAGCATTGTTCCCACAGGACCGATCACCGATGGCAAATCGTTCCTTCCTGGGGGGGGTATACGATACGGTACAGAAAATCTTAGTTGTGGAGCAATCGAGCTTTGAAGATCGGTCTAGGGGGGGTGCCACCTCTCCGCCTCTTGCGGTATGCCACCTACCGTGGGTGACGCAAGATACCGCACCCCCTGGACCGATTTTCGAAACTCGACTATTAATACTTACTCCACGAGGAAGAGGGAGCATGTGATGCGTTTTTGGAAAGACGTCTCCAACGCCCGCCGTTTTAGGCACCGCCACCTCTTGGTGCTTTTGAAAATCGGTGAAGGCGGTGTGATATCTTCCGTCATGTCATGTCATGTCTCCCACGGTAGCTTCGCACCCCGACTCCGCTTGATTCTCGTATTGCCCTGCTTCGGATTGACCTTCGGGCTGCTTTCGTGGTGGCTCAGTCCGCGAGGGTGTGTGTGTGTGTCTTTTATTGTTAGCATCGACCGCGCTGACCGGCTGACCAATGAAAAGGCGTCAGTCTCAGTGCGGTTGAAAACACAAATACACTTCTAAAGGCCATTAACTGGGACCCCGTGAGGCGGCGGCGTGGGGGAGACTAACCTATTCTCTGGATCAAAGACAAAAGACAGAAACGGTAGCAACAGAAGAAAACTGCACACGCCTACGGGTGTGTGTGTGTGTGTGTGTGTGTGTGTGTGTGTGTGTCCAGGTCGGGGTTTAGGTGCGAGGTTACTCCGCACACATCGTCAGGAGAACCTCTCGCGCCTCTTGTGCGTGTGTCGGTAGAATAGAGAACACGAGTCCAGAAGGGCGGGAGCAGCACGATCAATATTTCCCGCGTATTCTCGCCCCCGCTGGAACGACGTGGTGGTAATCCAGGCCGTGAAGGGATACGCGCCCAAGCTGGCCCTTCTGGAGCCGCATATCTTCGAGATGAGGAACATCAAGAAGGTGCTCATGCTGGGGTCGGGGGGGCTCAGCATCGGTCAGGCGGGGGAGTTCGACTACAGCGGATCTCAGGTGCGTTTTTTCTTAACAGGGAGGGGTGTGGGGAGGGGGGGTCGGGAGAGTGGGAGAGATGGAACGGTATCCGACGTGGGCGGCACGAGCATGATAGGGTCCGATATGACCCGGTTTTACGGTCGCCGCGATTTTTTTTTTGTGTGGTTTTGTCGTTTTTTGTTTTTTTGTTATTTCGTTGCTTCGGAATTGCACGGGCTCTACTGAATGCCTGACGCGTGGTGGCTCTTGAGTTGGGGCGACGCTATTTTTTCCTTCTGAGGCGTGCTAGTATTTTTTTTGTTTTTTTATTGGCGCATGGTTGTTGTTGTTGTTGTTGTTGTTGTCTTGCAGGCGATCAAGGCCTTGAAGGAGGAGGGCATCGAGGTGGTGCTCGTCAACCCTAACATCGCCACGGTGCAGACGTCCAAGAACCTGGGTGGGGCGTCTCCCGACAGGACCTACTTCCTGCCGGTCACCCCCGAGGTACAGTATGCGTACAGTATTCATACAGTACCACACTAGTGCATACGCTGGTACAGACAATAGTGCATACACTGGTACCACAGTAGTTTGGTATAGACTGATAGTATAATATTGTATAGACTGATACACCAATGGTGTGGTGTTGACTGATACCCCAACAGGGGTGAATAGACCGTTACCCCCAACAATAGTGGCGTGTGTAGACTTGTTTCGTACCCGCTATTCATAGTACATACAGTGGAACCCCGATAGTGTATACACAGGTTTGTACGGGGCATCGTTTCTCGTTCTATAGAACACCGCATGTATGTCCCCGCCATGTTTGAGATCGTGGAAGGCGTGATCATGAAGGAGAAGCCCATTCCACATTTTTTGTTTTGGTAAAAACCGCATGTATGTCCTCGCCATGTTCATGGTTCCATTCGGTGCTCCAGATCGTGGAAGGCGTGATCATCAAGGAGAAGCCCCATTCCGCATTTTTTGTCCATAATACCGCATGTATGACCCCGCCGTGTTCATGGTTACGTTCCGTGCCCCAGATCGTGGAAAGCGTGATCATAAAGGAGAAGCCGGATGGCGTGCTGGTATCCATGGGGGGACAGACGGCGCTTAACTGCGGTGTCGAGCTGCACAACGCCGGGGTGAGCGCCTTGTTGCTGCCGGGGGAGGGGGGGTCCGCAGTTGTACCTTTCTTCCAGTCTGTTACGCTTGCTGATGGCGGTATGTGTTTGGTGTATCAGCCGATGTCGCACAGAAGAACGGTCGGCCACACATGAACTTGTGTTGGAATTTTTTTGGTTTGTTTTTTGCGTGCTTGGAACGATTGGAAGAAAAGCGCCCCCCTTTTTCTCACACACCCCTTTCCTCTGCTCTTTCTGTTTCACGCTTTTTTTTCGTTGTTTTTTTTAGATTTTCGAGAAGCACAACGTCCGTGTGCTGGGGACCCAGATCCCGGTGATCATGGCGACAGAGGACAGGGACGTGTTCGCTCAGAAGCTTCGGGAGATCAACGAGAACCTCGCTCAGAGCATCTGCGCCAGCACCATGGATGAGGCGCTCGCCGCCGCTGAGAAGGTGCTTCTTGTGGTGCCAATTGTTCTGGACGCACTCACGTTTCGGTAGATACAATTTCTAACGCCGCGGAGAAGGTCTTTATTGTCGCGCCAATTGTTCTGGACGCGCACACGTTTCGGTAGATACAATTTCTGACGCCGCTGAGAAGGTAGGTCTTGCCGTGCCATTTGTTCTGGACGCACACACGTTTCGGTGTGTATTTGTGAAAAGGTGGTACGCATACGGCACAATACTGCGCCTTGTATCTCATACACACAGCCAGCATCTCCACGTTTTGCAGAATTGCATTCTAGTTTTTGTGATTCTACTTTGAAATGATCGGATGACGATGAGAGGGGATGTTTTGCAAAATTTGTCACTTCACATTGTGATGCTTTAAGGAATAACGGGTGACGATGAGCGCGAAATCCTTCACTTTTTGTTCCGTTTTTCTGTCTCTGTTCCAGATTGGCTACCCCGTGCTCATCCGAGCGGCGTACGCCCTGGGGGGACTGGGGTCGGGTTTCGCTGAGAACGAGGCGGAGTTCAGGCTGCAGGCCAGCAAAGGCTTCGCCTACTCGGACCAGCTCATCGTCGACCAGGCATGTGGCAGGCATCCCTCAACGTTGCTTGGTAGTGCTTGGCGGCAGTTTATAGGGTGTTCTGGTAATGTATCCTTCAATGTTACTTGGAAGTGCTTGAAAGCAGTGTTTGAACGCACGGAGAGGGTGTTCTGATGACGTAACGCCGGTTGTGGTGGAGATGTAGTTTTGGGTTTGTTGATGTGGTCGGCTGGATCCCATTCCATACCGTACCATCTGATTCTTCGTTCCATACCGTATGAGCTTCGTCCCATACCATGAGGTTTTTCGTCCTTATTATATGACTTTCTTCCGATACCAGAAGATTTTTGGTCCCGGACCATGGTTTATCGTATGACTTGTTTCCTTCCATACCATGATTTTTTGTTTGTTTTTGTGTGCCACCTCCGACCAGCTATCATTTCGACCAGAGAAACTGAAATCAGATATTGACGGCGGGTGGGTTTGACAAGCGAGACGGAAGAAATGCCAAATATTTTCGAACTCCTCTGCGAGTTGTGATAGGGTAGTAGAAGTAGATCGATGCCCAGTCTCTAATGCATTCGATCCCCCCGACGATGGTTTGAGCAGCACCCTCTCGGCCCGCTCCTTCATGTCTTACTGCGTCTCTTCAATTGACCTCCCTCTTGTCGCCTGCCCTCTTACAGCAGTACTTCCGATGTTGTACCTGTTCTCTTGTCGGTATTACTCTCGTTTGACTAGTTTACGGGCGTTCCATGCCCCCCCCCCCCCCCCCCCCCCCCCCTTTTACCCCTTTTCCCTTTTCAAAAACTTTTTTTTTTTAAAAAAATTTAATACCAAATTTTCAAACACAAAAAACAAAAATTTATTACCCTCTTTAAAATTAAAATTCCTCCCTTCTCTTACCCCCACCCCTATTTTACCTTCTACAAATACCCCCATCCCCCCAACCTTACTCCCTACATTTTAAAATTTTAATTTTTTTAAAATTAAAATCTCCCCCTCCCCAAAATAAAATCCCACCCCTTAAATAAACCCCCTTTTAACCCCCCCCTCTTTAATTCCCCTACAAAATTTCTCCCTTTAT